GTGAAGTTTCCCACCCATACCCTCAACACTCCTTCCAGCCGGACCTTCAACCGCGGCCTGGTCCGGTTGGATCGCTCTATTCACCACCAGAATTCAAATGCCTTACCCCCCCCCCCTTCTCTACAACAGGTACTTTTAGTGAGTAGTGAACTTGAGTAATTACTATGCAATACAACAAATTAGGAAGTCCACTAGAAAGGCTTGATACTGGGCAGTCTGTTTTCTATTCATTAAAATACATGGTTGATTTGTTTGGGTAAACACATTACTGTAACAGTGGCTTTTTGTGAAAGGTTAAATTCTGTTAGATTGCCTCTGCTTGAAGTGAAATTCAATACTCTAATATTTAGTTTGATTTCAAAATACATTTAAACTTCTCTCCAACGACAAGTATAACTTGTCGCTCTTTTATTCATTTTTATCAGCTCTTTCCGAAGCATTTGAAGAATCACGAGTCACTGAAGTATATTTAATTGAAAGTTCTATGTATGATGTATCGTATCATACAGTTTAGTTTCAATGCTCCCACCATTTTATAGGATATCATTGAACATAATGTAACTCCAGACAAAGCTAGTCAATTTAAGAAAACGATATACCTTGTGTTGATTTTGATGGGCCTATCCTACCTGAATTAACGATATTGGCTTTAAAATTGTTCGGTTTCTTGTAGGTCCATGCCTATTGTGAAAATAAGTTGTGTGTTTAATAATCGTTTTAACATGTCCTATTGAAAGATTAGGTGACTTCTAATCATTCTACAAGTAAACACCATTACATTTTGTTAAAATAACAAAATTGAAAATGTTGAATATTTTAGATGTTACAAAATTAAAAGTGCAATAACAGATTTAGATTCCTTTTTCAAAAATAAAAAAGGACATGTCTTATGCTGACAGACGATCAGAGTCGAAATGGCAAAGTTATTACCGCCCAAAGGGGTAAATGTGTGCAAAAACGACCAAATTGTCAATTTGGGGGGTTAAAACTCTGCCATTTCGATTCCGATCCCGATCATCTTGGAGCATAAAACATTTTCGATTTCTTTTGTCAAGATGAACTCGAAACAATAGTTACCTTTTCACATTTCTCCCGAACCACTACCCCCCTTCCCCCCTTCAACTTACGTAAGTAAACACGTAAACCATCCAAAATATCACTTTCGTTTCTTCTCACCGGACACTCGCGAAACTTCGTAGGTCGAGTTCCGCAACTTTAAAAATAAAAGTAACACACTCGGTTTGACAATCTGACAATTTAATCACTTGTGAGGTCAGCGGGGGCCCCTGCACCGGGGCCCGTGGAGCGGGGCCCTACCCGGGGCCCTGCCCAGGGCCCCCTCTGGGTCATTGGCACACTACCGATGTCTTGGCCTTGCAGCACTACGACAGTACATGGAATAGAACGCGGCAGAACCCAAGAAAGAGGGAGCATGATTCGACTCAGAACCACTCGTTTTGTCATGAGATATCGAAAAATTTTCTCGCTCGCTTCGCTCGCTATTAACCATAGCAATAGCCAAAGACTAAAAGAAGCTCATCGGTGGGTCCGAGGTGGGTCCTGTAGGAGCTCACAAGTGGGCGGAGGCAGGAGCCACCCTGGCTGATGAAACTGGAAGTGAAATGGAAAGGTAAATATGGGTCTACACT